AGCGGCCCGTGGCCCTCCCGATTCTCCCGCAGGGACGGGGCCGAACGTGGCCGCCCCGGGGAGGCAGTAAAATCAGCTCCCCGCCAAGTGTGTTTGCTCAGGTAAACCCTGCTTGTTAGGGACATGAAACAAACAACCAGGGCTGCGGCCTGCAAACCCGGCTTGCTCTCTCCCTTCCTTTCACATGTTAACCTCTGGCTGTGGCTTCACCTGACAGTGATTAAGCACAGGCCTCCCGGGCGGGACCACCCACGGGTGTGATGACGCCAAACCTACCGGCGAGGGGCCTCCTGGGGACGCGGTGTCTGCGATAAGCCAAGCAAGGGTCCACTGTTATCTGGGCTTGGGATACTTATTTGCAACACATTTAAATCACAGTTCCCTACATCTGCAGCAGAATAGCCACTGAAGAGCAAACACGACGTTTTGCCAGTGAAAGAATAAAACTTTTTAACACCTCACTAGGAGCTGTCTCTAGCTTTACAGCTTTATAAGTGCATCATCATTTGAAGACAACAAAATGCTCTCCTTGAATTTTATCCTGAATTTATACTACATATTCTTATATCCTAAACTCTGAGTCCGCAGACTGAGATGACGCCCCGGATTTTGTGGGCAGCACCGCAACTTACCCTCTCCGAAAGCCCGGGAGTAGGGGAGCGGCTCCTCCGGCCCCCAGCCCTGGGCGCTCCCAGTCACCTCCCCGGAATGACTGGAGGTCCAGTTGAGCAGTGACTGTTGGTGCTTCTGAGTGGCAACCTTGGTGACTTCCTCTCTACCGCCGTTATGTTTCTCTCTTTGATAGCCTTTAAAAAATACCGAAAATGTGAGACTGATAATGATTGAGAAACAAATATTTTATGCAATTAAAACTGAAATTATGAATAAAATGTTTCTTACTGTTTCCCAAATTGATGATCTGTAATGCCAAACTGACCGTAAACAGAAACCTAGAATATTTAAAGAAAATCATTGAAGTTGAAAATGTCTTTAAAAGTATAAGCAGAAATTCACCTATACCTAAAAATACAATGCAATCATTATATATAAATATAAAATTATGTAAAATAATTATAATGAATAAGGCAATCATTTTGTAACTTGTAGGTTTTTGTTAATTTTGCTATGGCTTAGAAAGATTTTGAGACAGAAAGTGTACACCTCCTTTAATGAACAGTGGCTCATGCACTACGATTGATTCTGAGGCTCTCAAGACCCCCCTCTTGGCTCTAAGATCTCATGACCTCTGTCCTTACCTGACATGGTGCCTCCAGGTCATTTTTGGTTTGAGAGTCTCCTTCTCTTAGTGCATTGAAGATCAGTTTCCAGGAAAGCTGAGTCTGAAGAGCCTCTGCATTTGAAGGTGTCTTTACTCCAGGCCCCGGGGACACAGAATGGACGAGTACAGAAGGTGTGGACGTTCCTTTCCTTTCCTCAGCCAGGAGAAACAGGATGGTGTCTCGAGTTCTACAGCCCCTGAGCTAGGGTTGGGGGTGCAGTGACAGGCAGGCCCCTCCGAGCCTGAAGGACGATCCCCTCTGAGACCTGGCTGGGGGTGGGGACTTGGGCCGACTCCCCCCAGCAGTGTTTACAGTGCTGACAGCAGCAGGAGTGACCAATCCCTGGGGTAAAACATTGGTATCCAAGGTGACAAGCCATATTCTCACTGAAAAAAAAAAAAAAACCCAACATGAACAAAAAGCTTTCATAGGAAGATGGAGATTTTCTATCGCGTACTCCTTGTACTGGGAGATGTGAAGGGCCCTGCCGGAGAGGGAGCTGCCGTGTGGGGCACAGGCCACACCCTGGGGTCCCAGCTGCCCTGAATGGGGAACACAGGGATAAGGGAAAGCATGTCCCCCCTGCTGTAAGAGAGTCCCCATCACTCTGCAGATGGTGCCTCTTCTCTGTGCCCAGCAAGTGGGGGAGGGGCACTGCCCCCATTTACTATAGGACCCCCTAGGGTAGGCACGATTATTATCCCTACATGAAAGGAGAGATAGGGAGGCTTAGAGAGTTCCAATCCCTTGGCAGTTCGATCTCTGAAAAACACGCATGGCACAGATATGATGAGATACCCACAGGTATTTAAGGCAACTACAGGGAGCCCTTGGGAGCACGGGGCAACTGCAGCGCCTGCCCTTGCCAGAGGAGCCTGCTGAATCCAAAAGGAACTCAAAGAGGGAGTGATTTGTGGTCTTTTCTAGCACCTTCTAAATCTGTTTTTCTAACTATGGGATTAGAGACTGAGGCCCTTTTATCAGCACTAAAGAAAACACTTTGCAACCCAGTGTTGCAAATTGTTCTGTGATTTTAATATAAAAACTTATTTCTAAAAATAGTATTCTTCCTCCAAGGCTGAAATAATCTTCAGTGGTGATTTAATTTCTTACACCTTTACATGTGAGGTTTATTAAAGAGGCTGTTGAATAAAGCAAAGGGAAATTGGAGGACCGGGCTGTCCCGGCGACCTCCCAGCAATGGGTCCTGTGGGCTGCCAGGACCAGGTCAAGGCCAGCAGACCCGAGTGGGCAGAGCACACGGAGGAAGGTGCCCCAGAACTTCATCAAGCATCTGTAAGTGGAGTCATGAGACAAACACCTTGTTAATTTTGTTTTTTTAGAGGCAAAGTGTCACTCTGTCTCCCAGGCTGGAGTGCAGTGAGTGATCATAGCTCACCACATCCTCGAACTCCTGGGCTCAAGTGAGCCTGCCACCCCAGCCTCTGAATGGCTAGTACTACAGGCTCGTGCCCCTATGTCCAGCTAATTTTTTTTTTTTATTTTGTGGAGATAGGGTCTTGCTCTGTTGCCCAGGCTGTCCTCTAACTTCTGGCCTTAAGCAATCCTCCTGCCTCTGCCTCCCAAAGTGTTGGGATTACAGGGACAAACCCACCATGCCCGGTGAAAAGTACACTTTTTTTTTTTTTGAGACGGAGTCTCACTGTCACCCAGGCTGGAGTGTAGTGGCGCAATCTCGGCTCACTGCCAGTTCCGCCTTCTGGGTTCACACCTTTCTCCTGCTTCAGCCTCCCGAGTAGCTGGGACTACAGGCGCCCACCACCATGCCTGGCTAATT